TTACAGATCCAGGCTGCTTATAAAATAAAACCAGAGGCATAAGGACTGATAAGAACCTGATGGTAATGGCTCATCCCTTGTGTACTAAAGAATGGACTTGAAGTTTGAGGGAACCAGGACTCAGACTAGAGGGATGGTTAAATGCAGGAGTCAAGTAATGGGGAGGGTAACTTTTATCCCATGGAGGTCAAAGCAACTCACCAAGGAACTCCCCAAAGGAATGAATATTGCTAACATGGTAACAACAGAAGTTCAAGTCCCCTCCTCTTTCCTTCCACTGGCCCTTCACAATCCCTTGGAGTCAGCCTAGGATAATGAGTGAGGAGATCAGCACCCAACACTCTAATGCAGAGGAAGAAAGATGTCAGTGGGTATCTGTACGTCAACATCAATGACATTTGGTCTCGAGCGGCTAACGGGCTGAGATCTTGTTTTTCACATGCCTGTGCAGGAACCTTTCAACTACTCAGGACCTCATGCATGCCGTAAGCTGCCGCTCATCGCCACAGTGGGGATCTTATTAATTTATTTCTGAGAAACGGTCTAAATCACAGCACAGAAACTGTGGCCAGAGTTATGTGAGATTCAAACAGCGTTATGTGGAAACTACCGAGGACGCACTTCTTTTGCAGAAAATGAACAGGTTGCAATGCCAAGCATTGCAGTGTATGTTATTAGCTGGATCCAGTCCTTAGACCTACTCTGGAAGTGTAACTGTGGAGCCTGGGAATCTAATAGAGTTTACTCATCTATCCCAGCCATGGTGGCAGTGCAGGAACAGAGAGAGAGATCTCTGTGCACTTGTGGGCGTACGTGTTAAAATCAGAACGTCCTTTCTTTGGAAATGCTCTCAAATTAGGCAAAGGGTGTGAGGTTTGTTTTGGTAAGGCAAGGCAACAGAAATAGATCCTGGGAGACTTCTCCTTTAGGATGTTTCAAAATAGATCAATATTTTCAGATTACATGAGCTCCATCTCTGTTAAGCTATGCTTGGATTGTTATGAAGTAAAGGACATAGAACTTTCAAAGGAAGGTTTCATTACTTACAGTGTCAGGCAGGGAGATACTCAAATATTTCTCATGTGAAAGGTAATGGGCACTGCTACTCAGAACAGACCTTAGCTATTTTCTCACAGAACTGTTCCAGAAGGCTCCCTGTTGTGAGGTAATAACCCTTTAGTGGTGGTTTGGGGAAGGTCTAGCGACGGGTTCTTGTGGGAAAACCCAGGTGACTCTGGTGGTAAGGGCTCAGGATAATGGCTCTTTACAAGTATTTATTTTAATAACAGCTATATTGTTATAAACTGCTGAACGTCAGCCTTACTTTCCTGGAAGAAATGAAATAAATGAATCGATGATTGACTTATCCTCCGAGGGATAATCAGGTTGTCCGGAGTTCCGCAGAAATCCACAGAAGCTTCTAAAGGTGAGTTCAGTGTGTAGAGTTTTTCCTAAGAACTTTCCTATGGATAAGAGACTGCTGAAGAACAAGGCAGGCTGACAGCTGCCTTTTGGCCATATGTCAAAGTAACCAGAGAGGGTAAATGACTCCAGCCAAAGCCATCAATAATTGATTGCGGGTAATTCAGTACATATATTCCCAGCTGCTTTTCTACAAAGGTGGCAAAGAGAATGTCTTTCTGTTTCTCCTCACCCATTCAATTTAGACACTAGCCCACCCCCAAATAGTGCTACACATTCCAATCATGAAAAACAAACAGAGTGACAATAGCCAGGGGACCTTCAGTCCAGAGCCTTCCCTTGGTAAACATAGCCTCTAGATGCTATCTCTGGCTCCCCCACGGGATGCCTCCTGCAAAATAGGCGGAGTCTGAGTTGAGTGGGTTTGGAGATAGGTTATGTCATCCTATGTGGGTTATGTCATCTCATGTGACCAAAATGTAGCAAACAGGCCCAAAAAGCCTTTTATGTTTTGGTACTTTGCTAAATTCTGTGTGTTCTGGGGGTGCTCATTAATGGCGATTTTATTCTTAAAGCCTATGATTCAGTGAATGAAAGATATAGTGTTAATTATTTATAGAGGTAACTTAACAATTGTTAGATCTCATTTTCTTGAGCTTTCAATTATTATCTCTGGGTAAACTCAATTCAATTAAATAAATCCACTTATTCATTCAACAAATATTTACTGAGTACCCACTGCATCATCTACCCTTTTAGGCTCTGGGGATAGAGAAGGGGAGAGGACAAACAAGAAATCTCTACTTACAGCAATTACATTTTAGTGGAAAAACATAAATAAGCAAGTACATACTTATCATTGTAGTAAAGAATAAGTACTCTAAAGAAAAATTAAGCAAGATATAGGGTGGCTGGGACATCTCAGCTAGCGTGGTCAGGGAAGGCCTCTGTAAGGAGGAGATCTCTGAACAAGAAAGTGAACAACGTGTCCAGGAAAGACCAGTGCCTATGTGGTGGAAGCCGTCTCCAGGCACAGAGGACATTAACAGCAAAAGCCATGAAGTGGGAAGGATCCTGGTGGATCAAGAAATCCAGTTTCTGGAGCACACGGAACAAGGTGCAAGTGTAGGAGATAAGGCTGATTGTTCCTCTTGCCCTTCAAGATTTGGCCTTTTGTCAGAGTGGAGGAACTCTGCAAATACATGCTGTGAGTTCTCTCTGAAGAACTAAATGCTTCCTAAAATAGCTATAGCGGTGGTGATTAGGATCCTGATTTGGAGAATCGCGTGCCTGAAAAAAAATGTATTTCTTACCGTTGGTTGGTACATGAAATGACTTTTCATACAACCTTATAGTTAACAGGTTCTAAATTTCTCTCTCTTTCCTCCCTCCCTCCCTTCCTTCCTTTCATGGGTGAGAGTAGGGTGTGGGATGGTGGTGACAGTGGTTGACATATCTAAACTGAAAACCAAATACAAAATAGAGTAAGATGTGCGTTTCCAATTCCTGTCTTTCCCACTTAGCACATAGCTCTAAAGCTCTCTCTTCACACTGTCTAGCTTGTCAATGGTATCCCTTTCCAACAGACTGGGATCCAATGGAACTTCTCTATTAGAATGTAATCTCCATGAGGGCAGGGGTATGTTCATCACTGCACCCATGGTGAGTTGCAAATAGTTACTGAGTATATGTACATACTCTTCCCAGCTTCGTTTATTTCCCAGTCGTTTTGATTTCCTCTCCTTAAGCCTCACAGACTAGGACGCCACTTGGAGAAAAGCATCACAGGACACTCTGGGGCTCCCAAGCAAGCAATCACACTCTCTCATCCTGAACATAATGGGCTACAGACCATTTCCTGGGAAAACCCCAATTCTCCTGGTATTGCTCAGCACATTAACCTTTAGGTAATTGGCACTAAACGTAGGAACAGTTCCGTGGAGTTCCAAGTAATGACAGAGGTGGCCATATTCCAATGCTTCATGTCATTGTTGGGAATTTGTCCTAAGTATCTTAAGTTGGTGGGAACATCACACTCCTTCCTTCCTTCCTTCTCCAAAGCTGGGATATTTGTAAGAACCTGATACCAGACGAGGACCAGCCCAGGCACTCAAGATACAGAGAAGTGTAACAGTTGGTTCTTGTCTGCAAAGGGATGAAAATCAACTGAGGAAAATGGCAAAAATAAGATACCATTAACCTAAATACTAACTGAATAAAATACATTTCATTACCGAAGGGCACTGAATTCTAAAAGCATCTAACAAAATATCAGAAAATAAGTATTCAGGTATTTGTGGAAGTAAATTTGTTATTTATCTTGAAGCTATTACTACTTATTTTTAAATCATATATACATATTTTTTCATGACAAAATAACAGACTTCCTAAATAAAAACAAAAAGAAAAGGAATAGGAAGGAAATAAAAACTATTCATAATCTCTGAACTCAGAATGACCTCTCTTAACATTTTGGTTTATTTCCTTCCAGTTTTTTTTTTCCTTTCTTCTTACATAGATAAGATCATATGGAATACATAATTTTACTTCCTATTTTCCTCTTAAGATCACAGCATGTTTGGCATGTTTTGAGAAACCTCTGTTTGTTGGCTAAATAGTAATCAAGTGAATGATGTATTAACTTGACTTTGAAAGTTTACGAATGGCTATATTACCACACACTCCAACAAAACTTCTGTATTTGGAGCTTCACATTCTCTACTCTGCTTTCCGTTGGTCTGTTCCCTGGCCGCGTAGGTGAGAAAAATCAGCTCAAGAGGAGAACAGAGCAGAGAACATAAAGACAAGGACTTTAGAGGCACATGCTCGGTATTTGCTTGCCTGCCCTTGTAAAAAGTAAGCATGTGGGATTCTGGCTATTTGGCTGGATTATCCACTTCTCAGCAGCTCTCCTCTCAGGAAGTAAACTCTCAGTGGCCTTTCAGCTGACAGCCAGAAGATGGGGTGAATGCTGTTAGCGGTTATGCTGGGGCAGAAACCTTAAGAGACAACTGTACGAATGGACCCAGCGGAGCCGAGGGAAGGTAATGAAGTGCCAAACCTGGCCTGACATGCAAAATGCAGGAAGACAGAGGCCAAGCAAAAACACGCGTATGTGTTGGGTTCTGGAAGCCTGTCAAATGGTGGATTGCTTTTGCAAAGCTTTTCAGTTCATGATCGGGGCCCTGTAACTACCAATGACCTTCACCAGGGAATTATGTGTTTAAAAACCATGGGCTCTGCTTCCTCAGCATTTTGGATGGCTTTCTAGCACGGCACTTACCATCTTATGATGTGTACGTAATTAGCTAAAATCCAGTGATAACCGCTGCTTCTTAAGCATTTAGTATTTGCTAAGTACTGAAGTACTCTCTCTATCCAGTCACTTAATCCTCCCCCAAAACCTACAGCACAGGTTTGTTCCCTCACAGATGAGAAAACAGGCACAGAGGAGCTGCTCAGCAACCACCCAGTCTTGGGGGAGGTAGACTCATGTTCTTCACTTCACCCAACTCCCGTCTTCCTCCCTAAGCAACCCTCACAGGGAAATGGTTGTGTCTTATTTTCACACCCTCCATGATGCCCACTGATTAGTAAAAAGAAGGTGATCATGGAGAGATCCCCAACGGCCATCGACTGATGAATGGACAAAGAAGATGTGGTATATAAATACAGTGGACTCTTAGTCATCAAAAAAGAACGAAAGCGTGCCATTTGCAACGATGTGGATGGAGCCAGTGTACTATGCTAAGCCAAGTAAGTCGGTCAGAGAAAGACCAATACCGTATGCTTTCACTCATACGTGGAATTTAAGAAACAAAACAGAGGAACATAGGGAAAAGGAAGGAAAAATAAACTAAGGTAAAAACAGACTTGACTTTACAAAGGTAAGAAAAAAAAGAAGGGAGGCAAACCATAAGATAATGTTAACGGTGCAGAATAAACTGAGGGTTGATAGATGCAGGTGGGTAGGGGAACAGACTCAATAAGTGATGAGGACAGGGTGCTATATGTAAGGGAGGAACCACTAAATTCCACTCCTGAAACTAATACTACATTACGTGTTACCTTGCACTTAAATGAAAACTTGGAAGAAAATTAATGAACTAAAATTAAAACATTTAAAAACTGGTGACCAACAAATAATCTGGAATCAATGGCGTCAAAGTGAGTCATGTTGGATGCACTTCTTTTTGATTCCTTTTAATTTGTCAAAAGAATACGCATATATTGTTGTTGTTTTCCCCAAATAGCCTCCACGCAACCCCGAGATCAAGACTTGAGCTGAGATCAAGAGTCAGACGCTTAAGCAACGGAGCCACCCAGGCGCCCCTTATACGTATTGTTAAAAAAATAAAACAGGGGCGCCTGGGTGGCGCAGTCGGTTAAGCGTCCGACTTCAGCCAGGTCACGATCTCACGGTCCGTGAGTTCGAGCCCCGCGTCGGGCTCTGGGCTGATGGCTCAGAGCCTGGGGCCTGTTTCCCATTCTGTGTCTCCCTCTCTCTCTGCCCCTCCCCCGTTCATGCTCTGTCTCTCTCTGTCCCAAAAATAAATAACGTTGAAAAAAAAAATTAAAAAAAAAAATAAAACAGTGACATGTGGTGCCTGGATGGCTCAGTCAGCTGAGCATCCGACTCTTGATTTTGGCTCAGGTCATGATCCCAGGGTCCTGGGATTGAGCTCTGTGTCAGGCTCAGTGCTGAACATGGAGCTTGCTTGGAATTCTCTTTCTCTCTCCCTTTGCACCTCTCCCTCACTCATGCACATACACTCTCTCTCTCTCTCAAAAAATGAATGAATGAATAAATAATGTAAAAATTAAAAAAAAATTGGTGACAAAAGAAAGATAACATTAGCCCCTCCCTCTCCATACCCCTAAACTCTCATCTCTTTTCCTTAAATATCCTTTAGTAATTTATCCTGGTCTCCAGATTGCCAAAATCTTTATAATGATATTTCTTAGCATATTGATTTTATACTTTGTATGTTGATATTATTTATGAGATATGAGGATCCAGATTTTATGTCATTCTCCTCATTCCATTTTTAAATGTATATTTATAATGATAGATAAGGAATATTTATAATTCCTAATAAAGTTTTACTGTCTACTCTTTATTGCAGAGCCCAGTAGTGTACTACGATTCTTTTTCATTTCGTGTACAAATGAGTTCATAGTTGCTTTTTTAAAATTTTGCTCAGTTTTATGCATATCCTTAAATTTCTTTTAGTTTTTAATGTTTGTTTATTTATCTTGAGAGAGAGAGAGAGAGAGAGAGAGAGAGAGAGAGAGCATGAGATGGGGAGGGGCGGAGAGAGAGGGACAGAGATTCCCAAGCAGGCTCTGCACTGTCAGCATGCAGCTCAACACAGGGCTAGGTCCCACGAACCATCAAATTATGACCTGAGCCGAGATTAAGAGTCAGATGCTCAACTGACTGAGCCATCCAGGCACCTCCTTAATTTGCTATTAAATGCCCCCTTATGGGGCGCCTGGGTAGCTCAGTCGGTTAAGCGGCCGACTTCGGCTCGGGTCATGATCTCGCGGTCCGTGAGTTCGAGCCCCACGTCGGGCTCTGTGCTGACAGCTCAGAGCCTGGAGCCTGTTTCAGATTCTGTGTCTCCCTCTCTCTGACCCTCCCCCATTCATGCTCTGTCTCTCTCTGTCTCAAAAATAAATAAACATTAAAAAAAAATTAAAAAATAATGCCCCCTTATAGGTATTATTTTCCAACAGTTGAATAGACCAGATAATATATCAACTCCTTTTCACACCCTGGAGAACTTCCCAGAGCACTTCATTCTCTTGATTGAACCTGAACTCTTTTCTCTCTAGACTCATGGTGCCGTTTGCTGTCTGGTACCATATCTTTCCCAATCTGTACCCTGCTTTACACTTCTAATTTCCTGTGTGGGACATGCTATTTCACGGATCCTTTCTAGTTTGGAGTTAACTGCCTCATTTGACTAAAGCCATACCCTGAAGATCACATTAGGAAAGTGTGCAGGGAAATTATTCTGAGACCATGCTTACCTAAAGATGTCTTTATTCAATGGCCACCCTCGATGAAAAGTTTAGGCAGGTGTAGAATTCTAGGTTGAGAACCTTTTCCAATCAGAATTATAAAAAAATACTGCTTTTATGTTTTCTCTCTTCTAATGTGTCTATTAAAAAAGACTGATGTCTTTCTGATTCCAATTGCTTTCAGTATGACTTTTTCCTCTTTTTTGAATGCTTTCTGAGTCTTCTTTTATGTGTCAGTTTGAAATATCCCAGTAGTGTTCCTTGATGTGGATCTTTGTATTTATTGATTTTTTGATTACCGTACCTAAACATTTGTTGTGTCCTTTCAGCCCGAAACTTTGTGTCCTTCAGATCTTAGAAACTTTTTTATCCCCCTCCCATTCCCTTGCTTTCTTTGCTCTTTCTGGAGCTCCTGTCAAATGTGAAGCCTTCTGGGTTGATCTAAATCTTTCTATTTCTCCCTCTTATTTTATAATCCCTTTGTCTTTTTATTCTACATTTTTTTTTAAGTTTCTTGATATCTCATTTGGCCTACCTATTAAATATTTTCATTTCTATTAAAGGATGTTAATTCGACTTTCAGACTGTCTCAGAGTTTCAGAAGAGACTCCAGGGGCTAACAACAAGAGCTAGAGATCTGGTAAGAACACATTAAAAGACGCTGAGACCACAAACCTACCTACTTTGTTGAAAAAAAGTTGGACTTGCAAGGCTGAAATCAGGAAATTAAGGAAATTATTTTTTTAATACCCTACTCTGTCAACCATATTATTTTGAGTGTTTTCTTCCTGCCCTTGAAAGAAACTTGGGCCTCGTCCAGGTATTAAATATAGTCTCAGTTACGCCACTGTCTCAATAGACGATTGGGGACATCTTGCCCATCTAGGGGTCCTTTTTAGGATGATGCCATTTCTGCTCCTTTCCATAGTGTCCCCATGTGACCCATGGGAAACACAGAGATTTGTTCGAGCACTGGTGGGATGGAGTGTGCTCTTACTGCAACCCTTGCTCCTCTGTTCTCCTGCTGGGGCAGGTAGGGACCAATCACTGTCCTCCCGCATTTTAGGGAGACACGTAGCGACATCTTTGAGTGCTTCTCTAAAAGTTCATTTCCTTTCCCCAGGGGGAATGAGCCACACAGAACACACTGACTCTCTCTAGAGAAATACTCACTACTGTCCTTCCTTCATAAATCTCCTCACCTTCTCTCACATATGCTTAAGGTGGGTGATGATAAGGATGAAAAACCATCTCACATTCTCTTATGGGGACTAAAAAGTGATCTGGGGTCTGTGGATCTTGTATTTAGCTAAAACTGCGACCACAAGAAAACTTGCGTTTAACATCTTTTCTCACTTGAGTGATTTTTTTTCGTTTACAAAGGCTCTTTCTTGCTTCTTCTTTTCAGTTTCCTGATCTTTGTTAAAATATCTTTCAATTTATCAGAGACCTCAAAGCAGTAATCTTGTTTCTTCTGTTTCCTTTATTCTCTGTTTTAAGTTCCCCTTTTGTTTGTTTACTTTGGAGTCTATTTTACATTAGAAGCTTTCCTCCTTGCCTAGCAATTCTTGATTGTCTGGTATCATTGAAAAGTGAATTACTAGTGTCTGACTGGTGTATTGGAAGGGAAACAAACTTGTGGTTTAATGTATCATGTGTCACTGGAAGTTCTCTTGGGCTTTGGGGTCATAAATTGACCTTTTTCAAAAACGTTTATTTGTTTTGAGAGAGTATGCGTGTGTGTGTGTGTGTGTGTGTGTGTGTGTGTGTGTGTGTGTGTGTGCGCGCGCGAAAGTGGGAGAGGGGGAGAGAGAGGGAGAGGAGAGAGAGAATTCCAAGGAGGCTCCACGCTGCCAGTGCAGAGCCCGACGTGGTGCTCGCTTGCACAAACCATGAGATCAGAACTTGAGCAGAAAGTCAGAGTCTACCACTTAATCAAGCGAGCCACCCAGGCAAGCCGACCTTCATTTTTAAGTCTTATCACTGCCATTAATCCATTGTGGGGCTTTGGCTCATGTTTTGTCCCTTGGTTTGTCCCCAGGTTCTTCTCCTTGGTGTGCGGCTGAAGGTTTAGCATCAAAATGCATGACCTTCCATTATCCAGGATAATACAGGTTTTCTGAAGACTTCCCAAATGAAAGCTTTCAAAGTTAACGGGCAAAACATCTCATATAAAAGGGGGGGAAATACAATATATCAATTAAACTTATGGCATCTACTTTTCCATTCCAGACATACAGTCATTTTGAATAAGCTGCAGACAAAAACAGACACAAAACCAACCAACCAACGACGACAACCACCACCACCCCCCCCCCCCTCGGGGACTTAAATCGAGCACGTGACTGTTGTCAGTTTACGGTCACCCCTAGATTACTCTTGTTGAATATGAACGTTAGGTCACAGACGGACAAATTCACACGCTGGCTAAAAGCACCACATTTTCAGAGTCAAACTGGGGTAGTGTATTTCCAAAACTGCTCACAGCACTCCCAACCCCATCCCTTAAGTCCTTTTGCAGGACGAGCACACTACCCCTGCGTCCAAAGAGACTGTTGAGTGTATTTCTCCTCCCCTTGAATCTGGGCTGACCCTGTGATTTGCTCTGGCCAACGGATGTGGTAAAATGATGGCTGTGTGATTGCCAGGTCCGGCTCTCCAAAGATCATGCGGCTTCTGTTTCTGCCCCAGGCCTCCATGTAGTCAGCACGGGGGACTTTATCGGAGAGAGGCTACGTGGAGAGCACCTCAGCGGACACACAGGACCAAGGCCCCAGGCTATACGGGAAGCCTTACTGGATCCTCACAGATAACCTGTTATACCCAGACAACCTCAACGGAAGTAGAGACAAGCTGCACCTGGCTGAATCCTGCCTGAATTTCTCGTGCACAGAATCATGAACAATAAAATGGTTCATGTTTTCGGCCCCTATGTTTGGGTGAGGTTGTACAGCAACAGAAACAGTGGCTAGCCCACTCTAGGAGAACCACTTCGAGCAAGGATTCATAACTCAGGCAGTATTTGGAGTGTCTATACTTCTGAGCCTTATCGGGGAATGGAATCCGTCGTTTTCATGTGATTCTTAATGGAGTCTTTGTCTCCAAAAGGACTAAGAAGCACCGATTTATGGGTCATTCAAAGTTAAACACCATCGCCAACAAAGGTTTTCATTTTGTTTATGAAAATAATCCATGCTATGCTAGTAAAAGAATAAGAGTACAAAAGTATATTCAATAAAAGACTGCCCCAAAAGCATGGGGAAAAAATTGGTGTGTATCCTCCCAAAGTACATAAATACTATGAATCTATTTGGAGAAATTAAAATGGTATCTGTGCATTCATATACACGTGTCTCTCTGCGTATGTATATTCATATGTAAATGAATGACTCTGCTGAGTATAAAAGTCAGATCTTTGAAATATGATATAGTAGTTTGCTGTCTGTCTTTTAACCTTTGAGGAGAACCTAATTTTGTTTTGTGGACAGATATAAAATATTTTATTTTATAGCTCCTGCATTTCATGTCCCTCCTGAAAAGGTCCTCCCTTCTTTAGCATCAAGTACACTCATGATTTCTTACAGAACTTTGTGTAGGAACTTTTTTTTTTTTTTTCCCCATTACCATCATTTATCCCTCCGTGATTTATCTAAAGTGTAGCTCAGGTGGAAGGAATGGAGCAGAAAGCTTGCTTTATTTCTCTTCCAACACGTATTAAAGAGTATACCGTCTCGCCATTTGATTGGCCAGCTCATGTACTGACCTCCCCGATGCACTTGGGACCACCTCTAGACTCAGGGCAGCCCCACCCATCTTGCTACTCCCACACCACTGGCTCACTGTTTGAATTGCCACTGCTTATAATGCACTTTATATGGAAAGAAGGTCTTACCCTCTTGGTCCCTTTTTACAAACTTTTTGCCTTTAACTATGATCATCTTTTCCTTTTTCCAGATGAGCCTAAGAATCATTACATCAAGGTAGCACCCATCCTCCCACTGCCTGCATCCACAAACTCCCCAAACAAGTTTTTTAGTTTGGAAGGTATCACACTGAACTCAGAGCTCATTCAGGGGAGAAGCCGGGACTTTCTAACACTGAGCCCTCTTGACCCAAGAACAAGGTATCTTCACATTTACTCAAGAAGCACACGGCTGATGGCACAATTTAAAATTTTTCTTCATTTGGTCTCTGTAAAGTGTATCCTAGATATGTTAACGTGTTTTTGGCCAAAAAAAAAAAAAAAAAAAAAAAAAAAAGAAAAGGAAGCAGTTTACGACACAAGTAGTTAGGTACCTCTGGCTTGGAGGAAGCAAATACATCACTGCTCTATCCAAGCGGTCAAGTTCCCATTGGGGAAATGTGTCTCACACAACTTATTAGAAGAACTCCCTGCTTAACTCTGGGATAATTGCAGCTGACTGCCTTTATCATTTCCAAAACTTGTCCCAGGCTTATTGTGCCCAGGACTGCGGGATCTGCCCTGCAGATTGAGGCATATTTCCTCAGAGACGCTATAATGCTTAGAAAAACAACACTCCCCAAAAGAAACCCAGAGCTCCTTTGATGAGTATATATAGCTTATCATTTGAAGGAGGATACAGATTAAAAAAAAAAAATACTTTTAAGTATCAATGATGGGTGGATACCTCAATATGTCTCAGGTAAAAGCCTCTGTTCCGTAAATCAAAGTATTCTGAAGGGATTAAGTGAAGGACATCAAGGGTTTACCTGGGCTCATAATACATGCCTCAAGAGTGAAAGAAGAAATAGCTGGATGGATTCACTGGGAGAGAAGCCAAATATCATCTCGGGTCAAAATATGTATGTAAATCCTAGGTTTCAGAAAAAGCCCCTTTAGCACTTTGAAAAACACGTTAACATCAATAATTCTACCTGTGTACCCACACAAGTGGAAGCCTGGATTCTAAATACTACTTTGGCACTAAGAAGTCAAGCATAAGAATTTAGAAAGAAGAAAGTAGATGTTTGCCATGATGAACAGTTGAAAACAAAACTGTGGGGGTAGCACAGTATGGGGAAGGAGCTAGAAACAGTGGGTGGGGGGTTGCTGCATTGGTAATGGAGTTAGAGCAGGAAAGCCCTTTAATGGCCAATCTTTAGACTGTGTGTTTTGGCCTCGGTAAATTCCTTTTCTGTAGCCATAATACTGAGGAATAGTTCCCAAAGATGATCAGACAGGGATTCAAACTGAAGCTGGTATGAGGGCATAATGCAGAGAAAATAAGACCTTCTGGGGCAGCGGTAAGACCTTATGAACCTTTTAAATTGACTACGATATTTTGAGAGAAAATATGAAGGTATGAAGAAAAAAAGAAAACACCCTAACAGTCTTTAAAAAAAATTTTTTTTTTTTGACGTTTATTCATTTTTGAGACAGAGAGAGACAGAGCATGAATGGGGGAGGGTCAGAGAGAGAGGGAGACACAGAATCCGAAACAGGCTCCAGGCTCTGAGCTGTCAGCACAGAGCCCGACGCGGGGCTCGAACCCATGGACCGTGAGATCATGACCTGAGCGGAAGTCGGACGCCCAACTGACTGAGCCACCCAGGCGCCCCAAACAAAAACAGGCTGATGATCTTCGATGACAGCATAGAATTTATGGTGGAAATGAATCCTGAGGCTAGAACAGATGATGGGCGAGCTGTAGAGGTCGGGAGACCTGTGGGGCCAGAAGTATCTCAGCACCCCTTGCCTTGGTCTTTTCTAGATTAATGTAGCAAGAGATCCAAAAGCAACATACCCATTAGCAAAAAAGGTGGTCCTTATCGCTTTCATTTTTAGACGACTATAGAGAAAATATCCATGATGCTCCAGAAATAGAACCATAAGCCTCCCAAATTCAGTTAGGATATCAAGATATCCTTCGTTACTCTCTGCAGTGAATAGTTTCAGGCTGTGTCACCTTTTGAAAACAGTAACAACAACAACAACAACCAGCCCGAGAGTGTATCCTGAACGAATAAAGGCCTGAAATCTACATAATGCAGGATCCGCTGTAAACATTATGTTCTACTTCCGGAATGTAAAACTCCCGAACTCCACACACACCGTGTTCGCTTCATGGTCCTATCACTTTCTCGTGGGGACCCGTGCCTTTTCAGGCGGTGGTGAAACCTGCTGTTAAGGAGAAGAAAGCCAAAACTCCCCGGGGATGCCTAGCATCCTAATGACCCGAGTTCTCTGGCCCATAAGGAAAAGACCCCCAGTCACAGGCTTGTGTGGTGCCTGACCACGCCTCAGTATGGGCTGGTCAGATAAGCTTGTCTGGGCTGAGGGCTGGAGGATGGACATGAACTCAGCACACGCTGAAAGGGAGCACAGGTAATGAACTTAGGAGCCCTACCCAAAATGCGGCAGCTGGCTTCCAAATATTGGGGTTCCCTCACACTGGAGGAGGAAAGCTGGTTATTCTCCCGTGAAGGAGATGGAGGCTGTTGAGACGATTCTATGAAGAGGTGGTTCTCTGGTGGGAAATGCCTATGGCATCACACTGGGTTCCAGGAGAATCATGGGGCTGAGAGGGCAGAATCACAGGATCGCAAAGGCGAGAGAGTCAGAAAAGGGTCCTGTCAATTCCCGTATGCTTCATGTGCCCCCACTTTTTGCAAGACAGAACTGTACCATCAATTTAAACTTGCGAACTTTTATAGAAGCATTTCCGTTTAATCTATCCGGCGTGAGAACACAAATACATGGGCCCGGTGTATCACTGAAAACTATCTGTAGTCTCACCGTTAATAAGAATTCACAGCTCACTCAGGTCTTCTTACATCTGCCTTATGAATCAGTAATCAAACACAAACACGGAGTTCAGGGGAAAGACACGGGCTCGAGTTCCTATAAGAGCCGGGAGCTGCAAGAGTTAAAACAAAAGGTTGGCGAAGGGACACGGAAAGAACATTAAGGATACAGCCCGAGGACAATGGTGAAAAAAAATCAAAACCTTCCTGAAATTCCCCTCTGTCTCACAGGTTATGAGAGAGTCTTAAGGCGATAATTTTTAAATGTGGGGGCCACTTACAACTCTGCTAAGCACTGTTACAGTTGCCCCGTGGTTGGGTAGAAATCATTCTTTCAGGAAGACCAAAGAATGGCATTTTCTTCCAAAGAGTCCCCTCTTTAATAAGGACTGAAGCAGATCCCTGTCATTGTTCTAGATAATGGATTACCTATACATACATTTTCAAGTGTAATGACACTCTTGCTTATTAAAGACCTCTCAGCTGAAGGGGCAGAATATTATGAACTGGCCAAGCCATTCATTTTCTTGAATATGTTATTCAGTATTTTATGCTAAACCAGCAATACACCATCCATTTTAGTACAATGATCCTTATGTTCAATAAAATTGAAGTGTCGCATCATAAATCATTATAGTCATTTATTTTACATTAGACACATTAGCCACTATATTCCATAATCTATTACAATAAGGTGGATTTAAATGTACCCCAAGGAACTGCAATAATAACTCGAGAACCAAATATAGCAATTTATGGATAAAATATGCTTAACCTAAAACTGCACTAGCTATCGTGACGGCTGTGAACTCCGAATGGAATTTAGTGCTGATGGTGACAGAACTCAGCTACATACGGAGGAGAAAACACGGAAAGAAATGGCAGACTCATTTTCTGTTCATCAGTTTACAAAACGTAGAAGATTAATAATTACACAATTAATCAGTGAGACAGACAAACCTTACGGGGCGGGGGGGGGGGGTAAGGGGAAGGTACACTCAAGTGAAACTTTTTCCGAGTGAAGCATGTTTCTGATCTCGAGTTAACCATTCAACAGGATGCCGGTTGTTTCCATCTACGGTGGCGTCCCAGAAGACATCGCCAATTGAGAATCATTCCACTAATCCCAAACTTGTGAATAATCAAACAGAGGCTGGAGGGTGTGAAGAAAAAGGTTTGCATACCTAATTAAAAGTGTAAAAGAGGTGCCAGGAGAATGCTTTCATACAGGGAACTCTCTAAAAGCACGCTGAAGTTGATAGGAGGTGTTCTTCTACTTAGATGATTACACATCCTTATCAATTAATGAAGCGTTTCCCCCAGTGATCTCTTCCAGATCATATTTTATTAGCCTACTCCCATTTGCCTGTAGGTTTCTAAAAGCCATAAAATCGTGTTGTAGAATTCAGATTCTTCACTAATTTGGCATTCGCCCACTTAGTCACACATAGTGAGGTCTTGTTTGTAATTTTAGGGAAATGATTACTATCCATCTACTGACACTCTTGGGCTCCTCTCTTGGAAATCTCAAGTCTACTGATCATGAAAATGAGACTGGCTTTATTATGTTACCTGATACGAAATCCTTGCTGTTTGGGATTATTACAAAATGTGGTTATTGCTGTGTTCATTCTGAGATAGCATGGCCCAGAATTGCCAAGGTCAGTTG